ACTCGATTTCCGCCGCGCCCCGCTCGCCTCGTTCGCGAATTCTTTTCTTCGTATTCGTCGGGAGCCAGTTCGCGAACAACATTATAATTCAAACAAGTAAACCTGGTGCCAGGCAGGTATTTTTATTTTGCTACTTCATAAGTTTCCTCCTACAACTGTTATTGCAATCTATGACCTCAATATGCACTGTTTATTGACCATGCAATAACAATCTTGAGAATTTGTTGAACATAATTATGATTTGGAAAATCTCTCGAAATTGCACGAGCCTTTAATTATAGAGCAGTTTTTAGTTGAGTCTCGTAGAAAATCACTCTGGCCAACCACAAATTATACCGACAATCCAGTGAACCAATCAAAACTCAAAGCAGATACAGGGTTTCAACGCAAAGCGCGGGAAAACGTGAGCGAGGGTGTCATGATTGGTTTTGGTTTTACTCCTGATTGGATGACAAAGTAGCGGGAGATTTTTAACCCAATCGTGTAGCATAGTAATGCAAAACCGAGGAAAACGCGAATTTCTTTCGACACTCAGTTGAAAACCGCACTTTTGTTCGAGAATTCATCTGAATACTCATTTGTTAGGACTGAGAAAATATGAACGCGCCTATAATAATTTTCACGCAGTGCAAGTTAAAACTGAATTAACGATTTACGATTAGAGCGGTTTTCAGCTGAGTGTCGAAAGTAATCAGGCAATTACTTTGGTTTTGGTTTTGGTTTTGGTTTTATTACGATTTGAGATTGGCTGAGTAGTCTAATTGGTAAGTAATTGGTTTGGTTTTGGTTTAACGACACTCAGTTGAAAACCGTTCTAATGGCAGCTCCTTCAGTTCCGAACTTACCGAATGAACAGTAGAGCCCGAGGTTGGATTAGAAATCTTTTGGCATTTGTATTGTTGATGGTTCTTAAGTTCATCACATCTTTTCCTGGGTTGGTCTAGAAAGTGATAATCCTAGATTCATAGCAATAAAAAATAAAATAAAACAAAAAATAGCGGTGAGATAAAGATATATTTCATAGTATGAGGAACATTCTTTAGATCATACTTAACATAACATCAATTGCAAACTTTAGTTCTTTTGGCGGATCGGGAAAACTAGGAGTTTTCTGTAGGGAATACTCCTGACAGGTTAATAACTTATTAAATGGCTGTTAGAACAGTAATCACTGATCATGCCGATGTTGCGTCAATTTCTCAGCGATCAGTTAAAATCATTTATATCTGAATAAGGAGATGTTCAACCCCACTGTTCCGCAATCAGTATAAATCTCGCGTATC